ATAAACTACATATTTTATCTGTAGTCAATATTTGCTATAATAAAATATTCTTTTGAACTTAATACTTTTATTATTTTATTATAAATAGTTAACAAATCTAGATCAAATTTTATGCATTATTGTTTGATACTTTGATTTTTCATAACCACTTAATTTCATTTGATTTCTTTATTTTAACATTATATTATAATTAATGTGTGCCTAAATTTGTATTTTAAACAGTGTATTGTAATATAAAAAATAAAAATAAAATGACATGAATTAATGGATATATTAAATATATATTATATTTTATTATAGTTAAAATGGAAAAATACTACAAATAAAAAAGAGGCATTCTAACAAAAAAATGTTAACCATTTTAATCAGTATTGATTATTTAAGATAAGTAATTTGATTTTAGGTGCACAACATAATGCAAGTGAATGCACATATAATCGTCATTGAAGTGAAACTAAATAACTAAAATGAGATGATGTTTTTTAGACTAAAATATATCCGAAGATGTTAGAAGTCCGTTGCAAATCTGTGTCGAGAAGAGGATGTGCAAACATTTTCATGTCCACGGTCTACTAAAAAACAATCGGTCTGTAAATGTTATTGTCTGCACATGATCTACACAACATAAACAAAATAACTCAAAAAGAAATGCAAACAAAAAACAAACACGACCTAAGACTCATTGCCCGATTTCAAAAGTTGAACAACAACAAATGAATAAGTATGCTCTTTGATAGTTGAACAATAGCAAATGAATAAGTAGGCTCTTTGATACTCATCAATGGATAAAGGAATGGAAAACATCAAATGTACATATGCCACTGATTAAGAAAAATGGTGTTGGGTTAACCGAATGGAAAGGAATGAGACATCCATGAGAGAATCTTATTCTTATGTATTTTCATATTGACCAAACAACATGAGTTGTTGACTTATTTCATTCCGACAAGGTAACCAAACTTGAAGATAGAATGGTAATAGTTTATTTCATTACTTTGTTGATTTCATTACGTGTAACAAAACATGCCCAAAAGATATGTTTTGTATAGCAACGTATGATGCAACTAAATAAGTTGTCTAGATGAAAAGTTATATGTGAAACATGAGTCATCGGTATCTACAATCCAGTTGATGTTTATTGTGGTTAGCTTTTGTAGGAAAAGAAACCCAATGCCACACCAAAAATCCAAACATATTACGAGGAAACACCATCTCACTAGTTGGATCATCAACAATGCCAATATTAAGACATGTCAAGTACACATTAAAGATCACATTAATAATCTATAAACTAAGCCTTTGCCAAGTTGTACAAGGCTGTTGTGAAGGGAGTACAAGGATGAGATTTCTAACATATTGGGAAAAGTACATTTAGTTGTTGCATCGAACACTTCAAAATATGTGAAAACCTAAATGCCATTTCATATTTGTTTCTTTAGCATGTTTATGAATCCAAGAGTAACAAGGATTAGTCTAACTTGTCCATAACCATTCATTGTCATGGGAATCACAAATGAGTTTAAGCCTATTGTGAAAGTCTTGTTGATATTCATGAGATGAATATAGGTAGAGATTGTGTCAAATTTCTGTTGACCCTGTTAAAATCATTCCATATATCCCTATAACACAAATGCTTATTCATACAAGATCTTATGGTTGCAAAAACATTCATCATGAACAGCCAAACCAGATAACAAACTCCATAAAACTTCAAATTTAACATCAATTCAAAACATCAAAAAAGAAAGAAACAGAAACAGAAACAGAAACCGAAACCGTTTTTGCCTAATGTTGGTAAGAATATTATATGGATATGACAAAAAGACACAAAGTGCTGGTAGTACAAGGAGATGGAGGACTTAATATGTAACATTGTTTGGAAGGTTCCGGATGACATTGCTTTTCATGCCCATCTTGGAACGCATAAAATCAACCCCTGATCTGTTCATCTGCTTCATCACCTTCATCCTCACCATGTTCTCTTTCGATTGCACAGTCGACAACCCCATGCTCCTATACCTACACATTTCAACATTTCTCCCAAGTTTACAACAAAAGCAGATACCGTAACAAGACAGGACAAGACTGGTTGTCTTGTCCTGTCTTTTGGTGATGGGACAAAAATTGCACGTTGCAATTTTTGTCCCGATTCTGTTTGTACAAGACCGATTGTTCTATCCTCACAGGACAGACGGTCTTGTACTATTTTTGGTAATGGGACAAAAAGTGTTTGTACCAAGTAGTGGGAGATGACAAAAACTGCAATTTTTTGTTCCACCCAAAAAGACATGAATGCCCTTATCTCATCCTTATCATTGAAAGTTTGTTCTAACCTTGCAGCCAATACAGCTGTAATGGGAACACCATCTGGAGATGGGCGTGGTTTTTGGCGATAATAACGCAAATATTCCCTTGAACCAATTGCTTTTGTTGATACTTTATTTTCATTTACTGTTTTTATTATAAGCTCGGACCCACCACTCCCAAGTTCTATACCCTCACTTGTCCCATCTGCTGTAACCATTTGCTTCCCATCTGCATCCACGTAACTAATAACATAGAAAAATAGAAGCACTATTAGCTTTAAATATGATTAGAAAGTTAAAAATTGGGTTAAATTTTACTAATGTAAACCTGCTGGTGTAATCATAGAACTCTTCTAGCTCAGCTTCTTCTTCTTCATCATCATCACCATAGTGTACTTTGCAATGGCTTTTTGCCACCATATGTTTCCTAACTGCTTCCAAACTACTGAATGGTTGGCAGTTGCTGTTGCAATACAAACATATGAAATCACGCGTCACCTTCAATCCAAGATATGTGAGAAGGCCACTTGGATCTTTCAGATACTCGATATCAGGTACAAAAAACCCATGATGCTTGTGCAGATGAACCATACAGCTTTCAATTGTTTTATGCTCTTTGTCACACATAAAGCAGCATGTTGGATCCACCTCATCTTCATCCTCATCCATGTCATCATCACTATCATCATTGACTTCCATATGTGTAGAAGGTGATGCCATGTCACCGACCATGTCATCTTTCTCAGTAACTTCCTCCCATTCACTATCTTCGCTTTCTTCATCTGATTCCTCTTGCTGTTTAAGGGGTTTCTTTACAATACGGGGTGGAAGTGGTTTTATTATTGCATTATTTTCCTCTTCTTGACCATCTTCGGAAGCACGTGTTATGTGGGCCCGAGAGTTAAGATGTTGAGCATGAGCCTTGGCGCTTCTATACCCTTTGCCACATAGGCGACAGCTGTACATCATAGCGGGCCCGTTTAGCTTGTTCTTCTCTTCAGCAAGTGTGGATTGTCTGGCTAAGAAGAGAGCTTCTGTTACTCCTGGAACTCCTGCAAGCTGATTTTTCAAATAAAGTATGATAAGTGTAACAAGGGGCATCAAAGGATTGTATAATTAAGAAGTGTAAATTGTTGATATCCAAGGAACTGAAATCTTTTTCTTAGTTATATTTTTCATGGTTCTTTTAATTGCTGGTTTTCATACTTCAGTATGAAGTATAAAACTTTATTTTGAAGGGTATATGTGTTGGTCTCTCTGCATTTGTTTAAGTATAATTGAAATCCTTTTGTAGAATTTTAAGCATATCTTTTGGTTAATACAACTGAATATTCACAAATATGCAACTTTGGTACACAATGATATAACAATTTGATGTAGCTGAAATTCTTTCTTAAGAAAACCTGGAGGTCTCCTTGTTGATCCATAGGCAATATTTGTTCATACAACATGACCATGGGGAAGACTCAAAGTTGAACATACGACCCCCAAAGTAAACCTACCAAATCTATTCAGTAATTAACAGCAATTTCCAGAGCAGGCATTAGCTAATAACCAAAACAGGAACAGTGTCACAAATCAGGTTACAATTTCAATTGAAATGATGCAAAAAATGAGCTCAGATATGAGCAATCGTGGAAAAGAGAAAGAAATAGATAATTCGATAACTTCATTTTGCGATTCAATCAACCAATTTTTACAACGCTCACGATGAATTTCAACTTTTACATCACCTGGTAAAGTAAGTATTAGGTTAAACAGAGGAGAAGAAATGATACACATCAAATAAACACAATTAGTTGTGAAGTTGAACGACTCAAGAACTGATCTCAAATCAAATAAGTTTTATCCGTGAAGAAAGGAGAAAAGAGGAATCGCTACCTTCCGTTTGAGATTGTAACGGTGCCATTCGGACTTGTAATGGGGCTTCTGATCGTTTTCATTATCGAATTTTTTGTTGCAGGCGTTGCATGACAACCCTTCCATTTTTTCCATTTTTCCGAGAGAGAGGAGAGGAGAGGAGAACAGTGAATAGAGGGGGATATTATATAGGAATAAGAAAAACGTTACAAACACGGAATACGTCGGCTGTGCCAGTCGGCGAAGACGACTTCGCCCTAAATCCCAATATATTCGAAATTCGATTTTTAGGGTTGGGAAATGGGACTTGGGGAGCTACCCCTCCATATTAAAATGAAATTTTTTTGAATTAGAATTGGAAAAAGAAATAGGAATTTGAATCCAATTCAATTCAATATGCTCGTTTGGTTTTCAGGAAATAGAATTGGAATTAATTTGAATTAATTTCACATTCCGTTGGTTAGCAGGAAATGAAATCATTTTTTTGTTTGTTTTGCTTAATTTTACTTTGTTTTTTAAGTTATATGTAAACATATATATATAATATAAATTATTGAAATAGTAAAATTTTAATTTATTGATTGAACATTCATGCAAACATATTATGAAAATCATGTTAATAAACATCATAAGTTAAATTCATTCCACTTTGCATCATAATAACGTTACTAAAAAGCATATCAATATTTCGATACATCCCTATCGAAGATACCAAAAACTTACAAATCCAAAATATCAAGCAACATTCTAATAAACATCCCAAAAGAGCTTAAAAATCCAAAATATGAATTAACATCCTAATTAATAATACTACCCTTCCAAAATGTATATGACCTAAACTTCTCTATCGCCTTCTTCAATTTGCCAAAAATTTTGTACGTATATTGGATCACTTCTTATATTGGTCAAAGCTTTGAACTTCTCGACTTGACTTAATGAACTCATCTTTAAAATTTTCGGAGGGATTTTCTCACTCAATTCGTTAATCTTCATGTCAAATGTAATACATGGATTCAAATCTTTTGATATTTCTTTAAGACTTTCAGTAATCAAACCAACCACATTATGGAACACATCATCGGCACACCGTTTCCTCTTATTAGAGCGAACACTTGGTGAAGTTTCCTCATTTTGCACTGTTGTATTATGGCTAATTTCCTCGGATTCAAGTATGTCATCATCCGACTTTTGCATTTCTTCTTCTAAGTTCACATCTTGTTCCATCGCAATGAAATCTTTAGCTCTATTTTCCTTGAGCTTGGTCTTTTCCAAAAACAATGCAAAGATCTTCATAGTAACGAAAAGATTTGTGTTTTCATCTAGTCGCTTCTTTATGAACCTATTTACTAACATGATAATTTATATAAAAAAAAAAAAAACAAAACATTTCCATATAGTCACTTCATTATAAACTATAAAAATAAAAATATTATAACATCATATACATGTAGGTACACCTTCCAAACCGGATCCTCAACTAGGTTTGCTTCTTCATTGTTTGTCCATGTCTTATAATTTCTAAAGTAACTTGTCATACCTATATAAACATAACAAAAACCAATAGATAAGTATCACAACTAATTTTAGATACATTAATAATAGATAAGCAAAATGCCAATTGTCCAACATAACATTAAGCAAGCAATAATTCGTCCAACATAACGTTAAAAAAGCAACAATGTTCAACATAACGATAAGCAAACAATACAACAATTTGTCCAACATAGAGATACATCATAAACAGATAAACAAAATGCCAATTAAATTTGCCACGCACCTAGATGCAAACATGGACTCCGCTAAATTATCTCTAAGTATGGTCCATTCATTCAAAGTCCCTACAAAATTAATATTATGAACATCTTCAAGTCCAACATCTCCGGTTCCCTCGTCCCGATCACATTCATTATCAATAGAATCTACTTCCATTTCTTGTCTTATGAAGTGATGTAGTAGACAACATGCCATTATGATCTTATTTTTCATTTCAATTGGATAATACGAATTGTCCTTTAATATTCCCCATCTTCCCTTCAAAATGCCAAAACATCCTTCAATGACATTTCTTGCTGATGAATGTTTCACGTTAAAGAATTCATTTGCTATAGTTGGTTGGTGCCCATGATGCCATTCATTTAAGTGATACATTTTCCCTCTATATGGGGCTAGAAAACCCTCTCCATTTGTATATCCAACATCAACTAAATAATAACCTGCAAATAAGATTTATAGTTAATAACGTTTTATAAATAAGATTTATATATATATATATATATATATATATATATATATATATATATATATATATAAAAGATTTACATACTCGGTCTTGGAACTTTCAATCCATGCGGTCTAATAAGAGCATCCCGAAGAACTCTACCATCCGCAGCCGACCCCTCCCATCCCGGTAACACGTAGATAAACTGCATATCATGGGAACAAACCCCTAGAATGTTTGTTGCAATGTCATTTTTTATTGTTCTATATCTAGGCTTTTCTTCGGTTGGAACTAGACACTTTATATATGTTCCATCTAAAGCTCCTAAACAATTCTTAAACCATTTCCATCTATGATCGGTGGAGTTATTGGGAACAGGTTTGGGTCTCTTAAGCAAACGAGTATGCAATCGTATGACAACATTACAAACTCGACTAAAGTGCCTACTAATCGTTTCTCCCGAACAATGAAAGCGACTTATGATAACCCGATTCTTAACATTATGAGCAAGAATATGTAGAAACATGGAAACTTGTTCATCAATATCCATATTCTTACTTCGTTTTAGTCCTCCGAATGTTTCAAGCATATGACACAACTTTTTAAAGCACATTCGAGACATCATAATCTGTGATATAGACATGGTGTCACTCTCATAAACTATTTCATGCAGTATTAGGTATCAATCTATATTTGAAGAAATCTGCTTAATACGTCGTTTATCTATATGGTTTTTGGACATCATTAATAGGAGGAGTACAACAATGTGCAAAACCGCATTCCACCATTTCAAAATCAATGAATTTTGCCTTTGTCTACGATTATATGTTGTTAAACTAGGTTGGGACATTTTCCTGTGCATACAAATTCAGATCATGTTCAGAGTGTAAACAACACCATTTAATTTTAACAGTTGTTGATGTTAAAAGAAAAACAGATGAACAAATTTATTTTCACATTTGCTGCTGTTACAAGATGTTCTGATTGATTAATTAATAACACTTTGATTTTTAGGAAGATAAACAACATGGTTTTCATAGAAACAAGACTTTTGAATAAGCATAGATCTTCAAAGAAACAACTAGATAATCAATGTTACTGATAAAACTAAAAAGGAACAAGTTAGATTATCACTGGAATTGATTTTCAGGAAATCGAGAAGACAAGTATGAATCAACAGAAAACAATTTTAGATACATCTTTCAGGAAATCGATTTTCACTGAATAAATCTAGGTAATCGATTTTCCTGAAATCGACTTATCACAGCAAGAAACAGTGGGTAGAATCAAAAGAAATCAAGATTATGAGGGGGGGGGGAGAGCGCTAGAGAGAGACAACGAGAGAAATTAAGAATACGAGTTGTACACACACCTAACGAAGAGATGGAGAACGAGAATCCTGCAATTCGATTTTGATGGAGAAGAAGAAGCCTGATGGAGAACGAGAAGCCTGCAATTCGATTTTGATGAAAAATGGAGAAGACGAGCACTGAGATGTCGGCTGAGTCCGATTTTGAGGAATACATTCGGATATGGTTTTGTTTTTAGAAGGGTTTTGTTAAAATAAAGGGGGTATAATGGTAATAGTTCACTTTCCTAGATGCTATGGAATTATTTCCATCAGTTTTTTGAAGGAATGTAGTTTCCAACGGATGAAGGAATGTTTTCCTCATTTAGGATTCCCTTTCCTTCCTTAAGTTGAACCAAACATAGGAATTCGAGGGAATTGGAATCCTTTTCCCTCGAATTCAATCCTTTACTGCTAACCAAACGTACTCTTAACGTACATGGACATGCGGAGTCGGGACTATGAGCCACATACTCTAGGCGTATGAAGTCTACGTGGGGCATATGTAGCTAGATGCTAAAATCCTAATTTTAGGGCATGAGCCCTATTTAAGCACATTTATGACCTTTAGACCCTCACTCTTATCAGCCTCCATTGCCTTTGAATGTCCTTAAAAACCTAGTTGCCATTAAGAGTGATCTTTGAGCTAGAAGTGAATTTAGTGGCCTTTTTGGTGTGTTTGTAAGAAGGAGAAGTTGGTGAGCAAGCTTTGGATGTGGTTACGCTTCAAAATCCTGAATCTACATCATCCCTGGAAAATTTTGAAGGTAAAAAGCTCATACCTTGTTGATCCTTTTGATAGTTAGAATTAGGGTTTGTTTATAAGTTCACTTTTAGTCTATGGATTATCTTTTGTGAGTTTGGGCAACTCCAGAAGCTAGAAATGCTAGATCTTAGTCCATTTGGTATGTGAGAAGCATAAAAATGATATCTTGGTGGTTGATATCGAAGCGGAAAAAATCAGACCTAACATCGATGATTAAGAATAGATAAAATGAAGAAGTAAAAGGTAGAGGATGCTGGAGTTAATGGCGGTGAAACCACCTACCTGGGTTATAAACCTAACAACCACATCAATCGTCAACCTGCAACATTAATTTAGAGCAAAAACATCAACATGCATGTAACGACCCAATTTTGACGACCAAAATTTTCATTTTTGGTTAAGTGATTTGCACAACATTTGTATCAAAATATCAACCGATCATATCATTTAATAAAAGCATGTCTCGTATCTGAAAACCGAATCGTAAAAACATAATAATGTCAGAGTACAAATCCCACAATAACTCATAGTGCAGAAAACAAAGAGTGTGTGTATGATGTGCCGCTACCGCGCCAACTCCTTCCCCTTCGCTGAAGAGGTACCTGAAACCAAAACTGTAAACTGTAAGCACGAAGCTTAGTGAGTGCCCCTACCGTACCACAAACCATGAAATCACATAATATACATACTGCCGGGCAATTCTGGGGTGCCCGACCTACCCGGTACGGCCATTCTGGGGTGCCGACATACCCATGCGGCCATTATGGGGTGTCGTCCTACCCATGTCAAGCCATTCTAGGGTGCTGACCTACCCGTCGGTCCTAACAACTGACCCTCGAGGACTATTCCACCCCTTACTGCTACCGTCACATATATAATAACATAAACATACTATCAGACATATATGAGGTGTCCGAACTACCCTTCGGTCCTAACAACCAAACTTGGGGACTATTCCCCTCCTACTACCGCTATCACATATAACATATCATGCCATCATATAAACATATCAGCACATATTATCAGACATATCTGGGGTGTCTGACCTACCCTTCGGTCCTAACAACTGAACTCTACTACTATTACATATAACATATCATGCCAGCATATAACATATCAGGTAGTAGCAAACCTAGATGATATCACAAAGACAATCATCTAATCATACAACTCCTACTGGTGGGCCGACATTGTGGCCGTAGACCCACCGCTACTGGAAGGTAACTCACCTCGTTATAGCTGCTGATCTGTGCAGGAATCCTCTGACTGTTGCTGCTGCTGCTCCGGAAATCCTCCGGCTATAATTTCCACAAAACACTTAGTCATACAATGTTAACTGTTCTTATGGTAAAATGACCATTTTACCCCTGACCAAATCAAAGTCAAAGTCAACTTCTAGTTGACCTGACTCGCCGAGTCCCTATCCTTCCATTTGTCCTTATACCCGTCTCTACTCGTCCAGTTAGGCAATGACTTGACGAGTTTTCCTTCTAAATGAACATCGACTAAATCCTCATCCGACTCGCCGAGTTGTATGAATAACTCGACGAGTTCATCTTCAACTGATACACATGTCCTATCCTTAACTCGCCGAGTTGTACGAACAACTTGTCGAGTTCATCTTCATCCTTAAGAAGTTTGCCTTGGACTCGCCGAGTCCCATGAACTTCCAGAACAATGGTTTAGTCCAGAATGTTGGGTCACTCCCCGGGACCCCCCCCCCCACCCCCTTAAACCTTTCCACACTCAACTGGGTCCTTATGACCCTCAACTGATATGGGACAGAAACCTTGGACTCGCCGAGTCCAAGAATGGACTTGTCTAGTTGGTCACATCCTCTCATTAAATCTTCGATTTCTGATGTACAACCCTTGATCAAAAGATAGATCTATGCTTCTACAATCGATCTAGCACATAAAGTTACAACCTTTACGTGCTTGCATGGGACTTTGAGCTCAAAAGGTCCTAATACAATTTCTTACAATGCATGGGGCCTTCTTTGAGTGCAAGAGCCACTCCTT